TTTTATTCAATACTAATACTAATACTGATGCTAATACTAATACTAAATAAATACCAATACTAGTACTAAAGCAATACCCATCCTAATATCAATACTACCACAAAACTATTACTCATATGAACACTGATACCAGGATTAGGACTACTACAAACAATGACAGCAGTACTAAGAATAGAACCAAGAACAATACATATTAATCCTAACACTAATACTAGTACTAATACTAGCTACTAATTCTAATACTCATACTCATACCAATACTAATGTCACCACTACTGCTGCTACTACTACTGCTACTACTACGACTACTACTACTACTACTACTACTACTACTACTAGTACACATACTTAATACTAAAACTAATACTGATACTCATACTAGTCACTAATACTAATACTAATACTCATTCTAATACTAATACAAATACCAATACTAATGCTACCACTACTACTGCTGTGCGACAACTATTGCTAGTACGACGACTACTACTATTAACATCAATACACATACTTAATGCTAATACTAAGAGTAATACTAATTCGAATACTATTACTCATACTAAACATCCTAATATCAATACTACCACAAAACTAATACTAATGCTAACACTGATACAAGAATTAAGATCTACAAACAGTAATAGTGGTACGAAGAGCAGAATTGAGATTAAGATTGGGACTAGGAGCGCTGCATGCATGTGAAGAAATTTCCAAAAATTGCAAACCATCTAAAAGAACATTTTGGAATTGAGTTTGGGAGTTTGGGAGAAGTGTCTGTCGCCTATCCGTTGACAGATCCTGCCTGGTCACGCACGCCACCCTTCCCCTTCCCCACGACGGTCTGTCATGGGGGGGGGGGGTGAGCATCTGTATCTATGCCTATCTCCATATCCTTCTATCCATCAGTAGGGTATACCAAACACATGCGTACGTGTAGATACACACAACAGATGCATACATGCACACATAACAAGCATCCATGTCCATAGCTTCATCACCGCCTCCGAAGAGCTACCACTTACAACTGCAACAACATCAAAAATGCCAACTACGAAGCCAGCCACAACCACAACCACAACCACCACAACCACCACAACAGCATCGCAACCGCAAGCACAGCCACGACCGCGACAACGACCACGACCTCAACAACATCAACATCAAACAGCACCAACAACAACATCAACATCAACATCAGCATCAGCATCAGCACCCGCACCGGCACCGGCATCAGCATCAGCATCAACAGCAACAGCAACAGCAGCAACAGCAGCAACAACAGCAACAACAACAAAAAGCTGCTGCTGGCACTGCTACTGCCACTGCCACTAACACTGCCATTACCACTGCCATTACCACTGTCACTACCACTACCACTACCGTTAGCACTACCAGGCACTACCACTACCACTACCACTATCACTACCACTACCCCTACTACTACCACTACCACAACCACCACCGCCACAACCATCACCACCACCACTACCACTACGACTACGGCAACTGCGACGACGACGACTACTACAGAAACTACGGCGACGTCTACGATGACGACCGCGGCTATGGCTACGGCTACCTACGGCCACCAGTACGACAACTACTACGATCACTACGACCAGAAACGGCTCCAACGACTGCGACGACTACGACGATCACTTCAACTCCTCGTGCTCCTGCTGCTGCTACTACTGCTATTACTCCTCCTACTCCGACTGCTACTGCCACTGCTTCTGCTACTGCTGCTGGCGCTTCTATTGCTAATTGTCCTGCTGCCGCTACTCCTACTCCTACTGCCGCTACTCCTACTCCTGCTGCGGCTGTGAGTGCCACCGCTACTGCTCCTGCTATTACAATTGCGACAACCACTGAACTACAACTACAGTTACAGCAACACCTACTACAACTACATTTACAGCAATTGCAACTACAACTACACGTACAAGTACAAACACCAACAACAACACCACCACCAACAACAACAACAACAACAACATCAACAACAATAACAACAACAACAACAACAACAATAACAACAACAACAACAACAACAACAGCAACAGCAGCAGCGACATCAACAACAGCAAAAACAGTAACAATTTTATTGGACGCTGAGCGAGCGGGCTCTGCTCATTGCGGGCGAGCAGAAACTTCGGAAGCGTGCCATCCCCGAGTGTGCCGTGAGCCAGCGCCACCGAGGTGAGCCATAAGCCAGCACCACTCCCTTAGAATCTGACCTGCCGACATTCTTATAGAGGTTACGCGGTCTTCGCCCGGCGGCCTTGTAAAGAAAAAGAAACAGACTGGCGCTTTGCGCGAGGGGACTGCCCATGCGAGAATCGCAGGTACCTCCTTCATCCGTTTCTGAGAACTACGACCGAAGTCAGGCCCCGAGGCCTCGCGTAAAACAAGCCAAAACGAACTGACCTAACAAAACCAACAGAGAAGACCGCGCAACCCCTATAGGATCCTCAGTGAAGGAAAAAGAGGAGCCGATGCTACAAACGTTAAAAGAGAAAGGGCCTAAGTCAAGAAGAGCAGCGCTGCAGACTGTACACAGCAGCAACAGCTCTTGGGCACCAGCCTCTAGGGGATAGGCCACAAGAAGTTGACTTCAGTTACAAAGGCGTTGCCCGTTTTTTACGCGAGCGATGCCCGAAACTCCTAACGTGACAGCCCGACTCACAAAGTCGTCGTCATGTAGCCTCCGTCACCCTCAGTGTGAGTCATTGCGTCCAATACTCACGAACTGGCAGCCGGTGGGTCGTACTCAGAAGAGCCGTCTCCCAGAGTTCCCGTCTAGTGGCGTCCCACACTAGGTAACTCCCGACTACCAGCGATGGGCCGTAAGGATAATTCGTCGTCAAGCAAAAACACGTGGGCCGTCACTCCTAGCACTGCCTGACCCCGTCGGTAACAGGACAGTAACGAACACACCTGGGAGGGCCGTAGCCGTAGCCCGACACCCATAGCACAGCAAGCGCGTCCGCTTAACGACTGTACCCAGATGTGACGTGGAGCCGTACCAGGTAGACACCGTGCTGGAACTGAAGACGTTGGCCAACTCTGCTGAACCTGAGTCCCCAGTGTCCCAATCTGCGCCTTGTCTTGTAGACAAGTCTGGCCCGGCGGCCCCCGAGAGGCCTCCCCCTCAAGAGAGGATAGCCCCTCTAGGCCCTCAAGGGCACCCCATAGCAAGAGGAGTCCCTGGAATGCCCGTCGGGGCCAGCATTGGGAGGATGCTGACGCGTTGTGAGTCACCACGTTGCGCCTAGCCTGTCCTGAGTCTGACTTGCTCCCAGGCGCTGGCGGCTGAACAGAAGTGAAGCGCAGAAAACACTCAACCGTGACGAAGAACTCTCGATCGCACTGGCTTCGTAGCAGCTGGTGGCAGTCCACTGTGCCGTTGAAGGAAAAACTAGTGCTCGAAGAAGACTGCATGAGAATACCAGACGATCCGTGTCCTTCTTGCGGAGGTGTACCAGTTAAAGCGCAAAACCAGAGCGCCAGCAAAACAGCGCAGGAGAGACCGTGAGCTGTACCTGGGTGTCTTGTCGTGTAGCTGGAAAGTCGAAGAGAGGAGCGGAACGAGGCCTCAACTCGAAAGCTTCCTTCAGGATACCCAGGTGCAGAAGATGGCCAACCCATGACTGGGGCCGCCCCTTGAATGGCTTGGTGCGGCAGGTCCTTTTGTAAATGTAAAAGCATCGGCAGGAGAAAAGTACTGAGGCACAGTCGACGCGCCTTCCGCTAGTTTCGCCGGAAAGAGAGAACTCGATCCGACTCCCTTCACCCCGCGGAAAGGTGAGAACCCTACCGCTTACCTCTTGCCAAGGTTGTATAACTGCAGACAGAGGCCCGGGAATTGGGACCCGGTAGAACACAGCGGCGCGCGGCTCCGGGAATAGCTATGGCTCAATAAGAGGACAGTCCCTTACGCTTCGCAGAAGGGGGCCGTTGCGAGCCTCTAGCGTTGGTACCCAGAGCCTTGTTAGCAATGCTACACAGCCTGCTGTGATCCATAGCGGCTAAAAACAGTAACAACAGCAGCAACAACAACAACGACGACAACGACACCACCACCACCAACAACAACAACCACCACTACATCTACAGCTACAACTAAAACTACTCCTGCTGCTGTTGCTGGCTTGCATGGAGGACTTCGTGACCTGGAGCCAGGACTTCGGGCGCGAAGAGTTAACTCGCATGAGACAGGTGCTTTGTGGGCGGGATCTGCTGGGTCTAGCAGCATTTGGGGGCGCAGGGGCCTAGGTTCTCTGACGATCTTGGGGGTCCTTTGCGGCTGGGTTTCAGGGCTCAGGATCGAGTGTAGCTTGAGTGCTAGTAACTTAGTGGTTGGCATGGTTTTGAAGTACGGGCGTTGAGTTTCGCAGAGGCAACAGAATCTTGGCACGCATGATTTGACGTTGCATATGCCCAAGCCCGCCGTCCTCTCAACATTCAACAGGTGCCTGCCAGGGATACCAGATTGTGAGTGTAGCAACAAGTATGCAGTATGCCAGCACAAGTGCTGCTGTAGTAGGTAGTGGAAGGATGCTGCTAGTAACAGTCATCAACACATGGGTGCTCATGCCTAAATTTATGGTGATGGTAGTGGCGGTGACAAAAGCATCAGTGCTGAAGATATTTTCGATGTTGATGAATCTGATGAAAATGAAAATGGAATCACTCAAGACAAGCACTGTCAGAATGATAGTGATAAACACTTATCTCTCGCTGTATATATATATATAGAGATATGTATATGTAAGTTATATATATATATACATATATGTTTGTATGTTTGTATGTATGTATGCATGCATGCATGCATGCATGCATGTATGTATGTATGTATGTATGTGTGCGTATGTAGATACATACACCTATGACGCTGCTAAAACCATGTTCAACCCGAAGTCAACTGCCAGGTGTGCAAGGTGCTGGATGTCGTGCAAGGAGTCCAGGGCCCTCTCCGCAAACTGGCCGCGAAGCTCATGGTGCGGTGGAAGCAGAATCTGCTTCTTGCCGCTTTAAAGGGAACTCCAGAAAGTTGGAATATGGATTAATTGGTAGGATCCCCTATAATTTACTTTAAAGGGGTTACGATATTGATATTCCAACTTTCTGGCTTCTACTGTAGGGGCTTTGGAGCTAAGCTTCAGTGCTTGTTGGGGGTTTGGGTTGGGGCCAAGTTGCATGTCTCAAGGTAGGGTGCGTGCTCTCTGACGAAGCCCCTGACGACAATCTCATGTGCACTTGCAGTATCATCACCCCTTGTGTCACTTGTCTGCTGAGGAGGGAGAAGTGTCCGCAGTGTGGTGAAGTCTACGACAAAGCAGCCGAGCATGTTCGAAGATGCACTGCCGCCACTCGGTACAGAGAATTGTCCGAAATTCCAGTCTTGGCCTTTTTTTTTCCCTCCTTTTGCCATGTCCCACACCCTAGTTAAACTTTTGGCCAATATCTTCATGACTTCAGGGCATGTGCGAGGGGTGCGATCGGTTGTTCAAGATCGATGAGCTGGATGCTCACCAAGCCAAATGCCAGGCGGAGCGGGGATAGATGAACCTAGGTGATTCGTATTCTACTATGACTATGAGTCCAATATTTACCGCAACAGATCCCTGAACGGTCACCCCTGCCAGTACTTCACCGTGTGCCCCGGCTGCGACGTACGAATGCTGAAGCGCAACTGGCGCGAACACCAGGCAGGATGATTTCTCCGGCAGGGAGATCCTACCAGCTGATAGAGATTATTATGATCCGGGAAGTTTAGATGTTCTCTGGTACTTTAATGTGGCGTTCATGTCGGATCGGGTTCGAGGTGCTTTTTGCCTTCGCTGTTCGTGGACTGGCATGGGAACAACAGGCTAATTCCAGGGGCTCCTATCTTTGGCTTCTGGATGTGACATTTTGAGGCGTGATCCCAAAAGCGCGAAGCGTTTCAGTCTGCAGGCTCAAGCCCTAAACCCTAAACCCTAAGCCTTAAACCCTCAGCCCTAAACCCTAAACCCTAAACTCCCTAAGTCCTAATAATGAGCCCTAAACCCTGGAGCACGAGCCATCAGAGCCGAGACAGGAGGAATGCCCCGGCTATCGCAGATGCTTGGGCTGCCACAAGGCAGTTCTGAAAAGTGCCGTGGCAGTAAAGACAGAAACCTTTTCCTGCTTCTGGGGTGCATATATGCATTTATACACATACATAGACATACACGTATATCCATATATATATATATATATATATGTATATGTGTATATATGTATATATGTATATATGTATATATGTATATATGTATATATGTATATATGTATATATGTATATATGTATATATGTATATATGTATATATGTATATGTATATATGTATATATGTATATATGTATATATGTATATATGTATATATGTATATATGTATATATGTATATATGTATATATGTATATATGTATATATGTATATGTATATATATATATATATATATTCAACGATTATAGGTTTATCGGCTTTGTAGTTTCGTCAAGGGTTTTTGAGGGGGTTTTGTGAGGGTTCTTGTTAAAACCCTGCACACACCCAGGAGACCTGCAGAATCACTACAAGGAGTGCCAGCAGGCACGGAATGGGATGCTGCGGGCTTGTATACTCTAGGGGCTTCAATAGTTGGAAGAGGATTTTGGGGTATGTTATAGAAAGATCATACCAACCCCCGAAGCAGTATTGGTAATTGTTTCGGTGCTAAAGTGCAGTACCAATGGTTGTAAGTGGACACATCGATACAAATCGCGTGCAAAGCACTAAAGCTTCCTCCGGTGGCGAGTAACTCATTCTCCGACCCACAGGCAATACAGTGGCTTCAAAAATTACTTATACTATTTTGGGGCGTTCCGGATTATGATTATAGTATACTATATCCCAAAACCTTCGTAGCTTGCGCCTCCCTCATTCGGAGCAGCGACTGTGGAGAGGTCTGCATCCTGGACGATCCAGAGGGAAAGGCGGTCCCCATGGATCAAGCTCTCAAATGCCCCTGTTGCAACAAGAGGGTCTTCTTCAAAGACTTGCAGACGCACCAAAAGGAGCGCTGTCCCGAGACGGCCACGGGGCTGCAAATCAGAACTCTGGGGTTCTGGAACTTTTGAGTTGCGGTCAGAGGATGAGGAGATTTTTGTCGTGCTGAGAAAGGTCGTGGATAGTGATGGCTTCAAGGCTTCCACGGACATCCCTATTGTAACATTCAGTTGAAGTGTTCTCTGGCTTGCGTGACGGCTGAAATGGCTTAGGCTTAGGCTTTTGGTCGTAAGTATCAGTATCCCAATCCCTCAACCAGATTAAAAAACCTGGCATAGAGCGCCCTCAGCCAGAAAGGCGTTTGCAAAACCAACAAGGCCCTGAACTCCAAAGCCCGTACAGACCCCTTTAGCACCATTATAGAGCCTAAATCCTAGAAGCCTGAAACTCCAACAGGAACCCTGAATGTCCCGCGAAAAATAGTCGAAAGCCTTGAGCGCCCTAAAAGCCCTTCAAATAAATAGCCACATGGCTCGATTGATAAGTAGGTAAAGAAAGACATAAGGAAAGAACCGCGAAAGGAGCCAACGAAAGAAAGAACAACAGAAAGACCGAACGAAAGAACGACAGAAGCAAACAAAGAGGGAAAGAAAGAACCACACAAAGAACGAAATACACAAGCAAGGAAGAGCGAACTAACGAAATACATAAAGAAAGACAGACATAAGTAAATGACGAAAAAGAAGAAAGACAGAAAGAACGAGCGCCGAACGAACGCATGAACGAAAGAACGAACGAACGATCTAAGGAATACAATAGACGAAAAATAACGAAAGACATAAAGAAATAGAAACGTTTGAGCGCCATAGCGACATACAGAGTAGAAGAAAGCAACAACGAAGAAGTGATGCATGTTACTGACCAAATAAAATAGTGATCTAACGAAATGAGGAAATAGCGAAACAGTTGAATACGATAACTATAGCGAATGAAAAAGTAAACACAATAACAGACGGTCGAAACACGTCAAGAAATGCAAGGCTGGGTAAATAGCCAAATGAATATATTTATATATCTGTTTGTGTATACACACATACCCATGTATAATATATATATATATATATATATACATACATACATATGTGTGTAAACAGCAGATACACATATGTTTGGTTTATATGTATATATACATACATATATACACACACACGCTCAACGAACTGGTATATTTGTAGGATCCAATAAAAAAGTACATTTGTATATGTACATATGTATATATGTCTGTATACACATACACCTCCACATACACCTGTGCATGCATGCATGCACGCACACACACACACACACAGACAGAGACACAGAGACACACACACAGACACACACACAGACACACTCACAGACACACACAGAGACACACACACAGACACACACACAGACACACTCACAGACACACACACACACACAGACACACACACACACAGACACACACACACACAGACACACACACACACACACAGACACACACACACACACACACACACACACACACACACACACACACACACACACATCCCAAAGCTTCAAACACAAGTCCTCCACCCTCAATCCAGAGCAGCAGTGTAAGCCCTAAGCGGAGCTGGAGGTCTTCTGCAGAGACTGCAACATGCCCTACAAGAAGGGCGCTGACGCTGAGCATCGCAGCGGATGCAGGAAAAGGCCACCGCACCACAAGGGATTTGGGATTTCGGGTTCAGGGTTCTGGGTTTTGGGCCTAGGAGTTAAGATTGAGCTGGTTCGTGGTTTACATTCAGGTCTCAGGGTTTACGGCTTAGGATGCCGCCGGACCGGTTGGCAGTTTCAGGGCTCCGGGTTCAGGTTCTGCTGAAGGACAGAAACCTGTTCACTACCTTATGTATCTTAAGCCTTAAGCCATGGGAACTATGGTATCCGCCTTATCATGAAACATGCAGCGTTTTGTCCAGCCTGCTGCATCCGCCTGGAGTCACCCGCAATCTAGGCTTGGTGTGACTTTGTGTTTGCCCTGTCTCGTCTTGCTTGTGTCGACATTCCCGGAATAGGTATTCCGTCCCAACTCTCCCCAGTTGAGGCACCGATGCATCTGCGGCCAATTCATCCTCAACTCGGACAAGAAGGACGCATTCCTGACAGAAGACATTTCCGCAATGCGGAAGCCTCAAGAAGTAAGCCAACATTCTATTCGATTACGCAAGACCCCCGTACCAGTGCGACGTGGGGTTTCGCGTGCGTTGAGCTTGGAGAACGCAGCGGAAGTGCAAGGAACCGCAGAAAGACCAAATAGTCGCCAAGTCTTTAGGTGTCGTGAACGAAAAACATACGATTTCTGTGTCCTTTCGAGCTTGGAGGTGTTTAGGGTTTAGGGCTTGTCCGACCGTGATGTTACAGCATCCCTTGGCACGTGTACATCAACGAGACGTTCAGCAGCTGAGTGTGATGGCCAAGCTTTGTGGGAACATTCACACGAGCGAAACATAAGAGCCTGAATTGGACTTGAATATTCTGGTAATTCCGGCCCTTGTATTGGGTGTATGTATCTGTTTGTCAGTTAGTTCGCTGGCGGCTTGAAGTTCCCGGCCTGCAGAAAGACCCCTGAACCCTAAATTCCGGAACCCCGAACACAAAATGTAGCTATCGCAGAAAGTTTGTTTTAAACTGTCGTTCACCGGTAGTCCCTAAATGTTAATAATGTGTTCTTAAAGACTATTCTACTGACGGAGGGCCCCTCTATTGAAATGCAACTCTCTCTACACACCCTCATTTTGGAACCCTTCTGGAACTCTTCAGATCAGGACCCTTCAGAGGAACACTATTCAAATCATGAAGGCATCTAAGTGCCCCCTAAACCCTAAATACGGCGGCCTAAACGCTAAACCCCGAAAGCCCGTGAATACAAGCACCTAAACCCAAAACCCCTACATCCAGGAGCACCAGAAGAGATGCCCGGAGTATGAGAAGTGCCTTGGCTCAGGGCTCGGCAGCCCCAGGCCGCGTATGGTGGATCCGGAATTACAAATGGGCCCTACTTGGAGGTTCGTGGGTAGTTATAAGTGGAGTTATAAGTAAGGTAGCCATACTTATAACCCTTGTTAGGGGACTTATGACCCTACTTAGAACTACCCATGATCCTGTAAGTAGAAGCCCTTAACCCTAAACTCCAAAAGCCCTAAGACGTTAAACCCGAAACCTAACTTGTAAACTCCAACAGCCCTAAAACCTAAAACCCGAAAGCCCCAGAGCTCCACAAGCCAACCCTGAGCCCTTTGCCCCCTAAAGCCCTACATAAACCCCTAAAGCCCCGAACCCCAAATGCCTAAACCCTTAAATGGGCAATCTAAACTCCGGAGTTAGTTTATTTTCAAGCTTTTGGATTCGCCGCCTTTCGCACCACACCCCTAAACCCTCAACCCTAAACCCCTAACCCCCTTTCGGGGTTTCGGGGCTTTAGGGGCTTTAGGGCTTTAGGGCTTTAGGGTCCAGAAAAAGGCAGAGACTAGATCTTAAGCCCTCGGTCGCAAACCCCCACGCCCTGACCCCCTGAGCCCCTAAACTTCGAAGTTGCACCCTCAAAGATCAGCTATAGAACCCTTAAGGAAGCCTCATAGGGTGCTTGTCGGAAGCTTTGAGTCATAGTAGAACCAGGAGAAGCACCTAACCCTAAACCCTAAAACCTAAACCCTAAACCCTAAACCGACATTGAGGTGCCACACCTGCGGGGAGTTCATCCTGCGCTCCCAGACGTTATCCCATGCCAGCCGGTGCAGCCAGACCAGGTGGGACTTTCCGAAAATTGGGGGTACCCTTTTTGGGGGTCCTTATAATAAGGGTCCCACTATTTAGGGTACTGTATTAGGGTCCCCTGTTTTCGGAAACCCCCAGGTGGGGGCAGCAGGGTTTGCAGGGTTGGAGCTGCAGGGTTTGGTCTGGGCTTGGTTTGGAGACAGGTTTTTCCTGACATCAGCCCTAAACCCTAAACCCTGAGGTACTGCAACAACTGCTGCAAGGCGGTTCTGGTCCGTGACTGGCAGGCGCACCAGGCGGCCTGCAAGAAGAGGAAGGACATAGCCGAGACTCCGAAGAAGAGCTCCAAGCGGACTGGGAGTCCTTCGAACACCCCGCCATCCAGCAAAAAGCAGAGGAAGGAGGAGAAGAGGCAGAAGAAGGAGGAGAAGAGGCTGAAGAAAGCCGAAAAAGCAGGAAGAGAGGTGGCAGCGAAGCCATCCCCCAAGCCAGCCCCACGGCCCTCCCAGCCCTCCCAGCCTTCCCAGCCCTCCCAGCCTTCCTCCCTGTCTGCCCGTCCTGCCCCACAGCCCGCGCTGAGACCGCTTCCTCCCTTGACCGCTGCTGTTCGGATCAACGGGCAGCCGCCGCCGCCAAGGATGCAGCCGCCAAGGTTCAGGCTGGGCCTTGATAGACGATGACTACTAGTATGTTGTTACTATTAACTATTCCCATTTTGACTACCAGTACTATGATACCCACACTGCCATTAGCTGCTACTACTACTCTCGTTTTTGAATATTCCTCACTGCTATTGCTGCTACTAATACTACTGTCACTGTTATGAGTTATGAACCTCGATAAGCAGCAAATCAAATCCTTACAAAATCCGTTTGAAGGCCAATGAACCTCCCCACCCCATAAGCGCCAAAAGCAAATCAAATCCATACAAAATCCCATTGAAGGCCAATGACCCCCCCCCACCCCAACACCCTAAACTCTGAACCCTAATCCCCCTAAACCCCTAAAGCCCCTAAGCCCTAAAGCCCAAGCCCTATCCCCCGACACCCTTGTGTTTGGCCCCTTTTCGGGGCTTTCAGGCCTCAGAGTCGCCGCCGGCACGAAGATGAGGACTTCGGGAAGCGGAGAGGGTTTGCATTTCATTCTTCATTGCATTTCATAGTTAACAAAAAATCAAGTACACAAACAAGTAAATGTGTATAACTACAACCATACATATATGTATATACATATATATATATATATATATACATATTATACATACGTATATATGCATACAGAAGTATCTACGTAGTTATGTAGATTATAGGTTCTATTGCTATTGCGATTCTTGTTGCATTTTCCTAACATTGTTCGTAGTATGTTTGTAGATAGACAGATATATAGTTCAGTAGTTCATAGGTAGAGATAGAGAAAGAGATAGAAATCGGAATTAGAGATAGAGGTAGAGATAGAGATGGACATGTATGTATGTATGTATGTATGTACGTATGTATGTATGTATGTATGTATGTACAGAGTCTTCATATCCCTATCTTATAGCGCATTATTGCCTCAGGGTTCCGGATTTGGGATGATGTTTGCCCTGTATCCTATAGACATACATACACGCATGTACTTTTGTATCGTAGATTGTCCTTCGATGGCCTCTTCCACACCTTGAGCTCGACAGACATCTCACCGCTCAGAAAATTAAACGGTAGGAGTTGAGGACTAGTGAGGCTAATGTAAAGCCCTCGAAAAACACGACACGAATAAACCCGGAGTCCAAAGCCCGTCCTTAAGCGCGAAAGGTTCTTCAGAAACCCGAATCGCTAAGCTTTACATCCTAGCCTTACGCCCTAGTAACTTAGTAGATGCCCATTCCCTGAGCCCTAAATAAGCCCTATGTCCCGCAAGAGATGTCCCTCCCCACCCCCTAAACCCCAAACCGAAAGCCTAAACCTAAACCCTAAATCCTAAACCCTAAACCTTAAACCCTAAATCCTAAACCTGGACCCTGCGGAAAGCAGGCTCAGGAGGAGCTGGGATCTGAAACCGTGTACTTGGAGCCCGCCCACCAAGGTGCCTTGGAAGATATAAGCTTCGTAGTTTCTACGAGGGCTCTTGTATGAGGCTGAGTATGAGGGCTTTACAAATGTTGCAGAGTTTCGTGTTGAGGGCTTGAGGTTTGTTCTGGGGGTTTCGCGGGATTATGGTTTCAGTGTTTCAGTGTTCAAGGTTCAGGGTTGGTGGGGTTGTAGGATTGATGGTGTTGACGGTCCAGGGTTTATACGTTTGAAAGATTACCGTTTAGGATGAACAGCTGATAAGCAGGAATGTCAGTCGCATAGATGTCTTTGTAGTAAGAGCGAACAGCCAACAACACTGCGCAAAACGCACACACGAACACACACATGTATCAAACACAGATAGGCCAACGACTAAACAACGCCGCCGCAGGTAAGCACTTAGCAATCTGCCTGCCTGCCTACATACATACACTGCGCACATACCTTCCTGCATACATACATACGTGCATGCATACTTACATCCATAGATGCGTCCATTCATAATTACATAGTTACTTACATACATAGGTGCCTACATACGTACGTACAGACATACATATTTACGTGCAGACAGGCTTACATACAGACAGACACGCATACATGCATTGATTGATACATTGGTCGGTGGATACGTAGGTACGGCTACATAGGTACCTATGTACGTGGTTACATAGATACATAGATACATAGATACATAGTCACATACAGCATGCGTACATGTGTAAATACACACATGCATGCATGCATGCATACATACATACACACTTACAAGCGCGATTGCGTACACTGATGCGTCGATATATTGATGCAATGATACATTGACACATTAGTACATCGTACAAGGATACATACAAACACTGATACAGTCATACATTGGTACATACATACGTACATACATGCAAAACATACATACATACATGCATACATACATACATATATATATATATATATACATATACATATACACACATCCATCCATCCATCCATCCATCCATCCATCCATCCATCTATCCATCCCTCCGCCCATCCATCCATCCATCCGTCCGTCCATCCATCCGCCCCTCCATCCATGCATGCATGCATACTCAGCATACTCAACTACCTACATTGATACATTGACTTCTTGAAACGTTGACAAACACCTAGCTAGCTAGCTACCTACCTACCTGACTACCGCCCGAAATGCAAGCCCAACCTCTGGCTGTAAACCTTAGCAAGAATTCTGCACCGCCACTTGGCAAGGCCGATCGCAGCCCCAAGCAGAGAACTCGACTCGCTAGACATCGTGGGTCCCAGCCTGAAGTGAATGGAAAGTCAATGACTCCCGAAGTCCTAAACCCTGAACCCTAGCCTTAAGGGTTTTGGGTTTAGGGTTTCGGGTTCAGGCCTCAAAGCCTCTATCCGGAACCCCGTAGCTGAAACGTGAATCCCCAAATCCGGAGGCCTCATGGGCTGGTTCGTCGGGCGCGGGGGCGCAAACATAAAGGCCTCGGACGCAACCTGAAACCCTAAGATCTGGGATGTTAGGGTTGCGTATCCCTAAACCCCAAACCCCAGGACCTAGCAGTTGTTTCGAACCCTAAACCCTAAACCCTAAACCCTAAACCCTAAACCCTAAACCCTAAACCCTAAGGTCTAGGCCTTGGCATTCAGGGGTTGTTTCGAGCTCAGGTGTTGGATCCAGAGAAACGTGAGGTTCCGGGTCGGAGCTAGGGTCGCTTCGATTTGCAGGTTAGGGGTTTAGGGGTTCAGGGGTTTAGGGCTTTAGGGCTTCAGGGCTTCATGGGTTCAGGGGTTTAGGGGTTTAGGGGTTCAGGGGTTTAGAAGGGCTTTAGGGCTTCAGGGCTTCAGGGGCTTAGGAGTTTAGGGGTTTAGGGGCCTGGGGGTTTAGGGGTTTGAGGGTTTAGGATGGTTTAGGGGTGTAGGGGTTTAGGGGTTTCGGGTTTTGAGTTCACAGGGGCTGGTTCAGGATGTAGAGCCGCCTGCGCGACTTGGACTTGCTAAGGTGGCTACGGGTTTCAGGGGGGGAGTTGGTACAGCCTAATGATATGTATATATATATATATATATACATATTTAGAGAGTATGTATGTGCATACGTGTGTATGATGTAATCTGTATAGTACAATATAGTAAAATAACATATATATATATATATATATATATATATATATTTATATATTTATATATTTATATGTATATATATATATATATATATATATATATATATATATATTATATGTATATATCCTCGATCACATAAACCTGCAGGGCTTAGTGCTTCCGTATTGAAAGCAGAGCAAGGTTGGTCTTCAGGCCAGAGTTCTCTCGGCACCCGGGGAACTCCGCCTTCACATGGGGCCTAGACCCAAAACCCTAAACACAAAACCCTGAGTCGCACACCCTAAACTCCAAACCCTACTGTGCGACGGTCCATGTCTCAGCCCCAGCCTCACACCACGAGCTGCATTTTTTCGATTTTCTGCCGTAGGCGTTCGAGAAAGAGTACGGCGTAAGTGTGCAGCGGAGCGCGAACGATCTCTACATCGAAGGCTCTTGGGGGTGAGGGTACATAGTTCTCGGCTTTGAGAAGAGTCAGGAAACCCTAAAACCGAGACCCTACAACCTAAACCCTAAACCCGAGACCCTGCAAACTAAACTCTTTCTTAATGGAAGGTTGCTTTGTGCCCAGGATCTGGCTTCAGGGCTGTAGCGCTTCGTGCCTTCAACACGAGAGCCTACATATTGGATGCCGAATATCGTAGTTAACTACGGGAGCAATCAGAGTTTAGGGTTTAGGGTTTAGGACCCAAGACCCCAAGCCCCAAACCCTAAACCTTAAACCCTAAACCAGAAAAGCCAGGCATAGCTGGTTACAACCTGGGTTTAGGATGATTTAGGTACCGCCAAACTCACAACCCGACGCCCTAGAGAAGTCTCCGTGTCTTTGGCAGGTTCAACCCTAAACCTCCTAATCCCCTAAACCCGAATCCCCAAGCCTTTCGGGTGCGTTTCGGGTTTAGGGGTTTAGTGTTTGGATTCCCTAAACCCGAACCACGAAACTGCAAAGAGATGTCCCATAACTACTAAGCAGTTCTCTTCTGGCACTGTGACGTTGGGGCTTGCCCTGTTGATGCAGAAAAACTGCGAGACCACACCCTGAACCCCAAACTATCTTAAGCCCTAGGGTCTAGAACCCTAAAAACAAAGGGCCACAACATCTCAAACCCTCGGGTGTGGGGCAGTGTAGGGTAGACCCCGAGACCTCGCACCTCATGACATCAAACAAAGCACCTCGCTGCCCAGACCCCCCGGGAGGATCCAAGAAGTAGATCCCTTAATGAGGGTTCCAACAAAGTACCCTCAGTAGTATCGGGCCCCAAATTAGGGGATCTACTTTCTAGATCCTAGACCCTAGACCCTAAACCCATAAACCCTAAACCTTAAACCCTAAACCCCTAAACCCCTAACCTCTAAACCCTACTTTCTAGATCCTCCCCGGGGTCTGGCTAAAGCACCTCGGGGGATCGGTCCCTGAGTAATTCCTTGGAGGTTCACTGGGAATTTATAATTGGGGTTTTAAGTAGGGTTACTCTACTTATGAGCCTCATTAGGGGGCTAATAACCCCACTTACAACTGCCCATGAACCTCCAAGTAATTTCCGGCTACTATGGAAGCCTGAACAGTTCCTCTTAGACAGCGAAACGGAGAACATTGAAACGTTTTGGCCTTATATACTTGGTCTATCTTGGAAAGTTTGAATTCTTGGCCCGGTTGTTGAAGAAGAGAGTTCTATTAGTTTCAAGCGTCATTCGTTGGGGTTTCTTATTATACTTATGCTAGAATGCATCCCAACACCCTCTTCACAATTAGAACTGGTGTTGTGGTGAAATCTCGTATGATTACCGTAAACCCTGAACCCTAAACCCTAATACCTCAAGGAACTCCGAAGGAACAGTGTTCCACAGTATCTCTGCTGTTTATATAATGAGTTTCAGCAGGCCCTGCTGGCAAAGCGAGACGTGCGGCGAGCGCAGCCCGCGAGTTCCTAGAGGTACCCTGAGATGCGGGAGTTTCCGAAAATAGGGGACCCTAATATAGTACCCTAAATAGTAGCTTCCTTATGATAAAGACCCCTACAATAAGGTACCCCTTATTTTCGGAGATCCCCATGCTGCATGTAGACGTAGATGGGGTCAGGGTTTAGTATTTGGGGGCTCTTTGGAAATGCAGGTGAGTTTAGAAGAAGCGTATCTTGGACACCATAAGCCCAATTCAACTGTAAAGCTTAAGTTTCTATGGAGTCGCAGTTTGCAGGGTTGGGGATGTCAGGTTCTAGGCGAAGAGTTCAGTGATTTGTTGGGTTTAGCGTTTCAGGGTTCAGGACTTTGAGAGGTGTTCCCGCTGCGTGTGATCCCCCCCGATTGTAGAGACCTCGCAACTGACGATCGGTTTTCAATCCGGATGGTAGTTTACACCACAAAGCGCTTGTTTTAACCCTGTATGCCGGAGTCTGAAGCAGCCGTAGACATCAGGGCTTTGGCATCATCAGCTTTACTTGAGCTGGCGAGGAGATCACAGCAAGAGAAGTTGTAGCAGCAGCAACTAGACTCGGGATAGACATGCCATATGGACATGACTGCAAAGGGGTATTGAAGCCCAAAAAAAGCACAATGGCAATTATAATCATCATCATCGTCAGCACCATCATCATGACAATCAGCACCACCATCATCGTCGTCGTCACCGCCACGGTCGTGGTCGTCATCATCATCTTCATGATGATGATCATCATCATCACCATCATCATCGTCATCATTCATCATCCATCACTCATCACTCACCAGTCACCAGTCACCATTGACCATTCACCATTACCGTCACCTTCACCGTCGCCATCACCATCACCACACCTCATCCTTGTCATCATCGTATCAGGGCTCCAAAAGAGGCCATGATAGCAGGGCCCTAAACCATAAACTCTGAACCCTGGTCCGTGAAACGGTACTGCC